AGAACCTAATCATCTTCTTTGGCTTTCTATTCGACAACTTATCATGGATCGTAATCTTAATGTCGAATTGATTAAAGTCCCTGCTCATGGCGATGATATCTACAATATACAAGCGGATTCTTTGGCAAAAGATGCTCATTCGTCTTTACAACCCACTACTCTACTTTCAACATTTTGTTATGCTCCATGCTTGTTGACTTTTAACTCCTTGCCTATTGACGTGAATATTCGACATTTTCTCCGCTCTATTGCAGATGCTCGTGCTCTTTTATCTTTCTGTTCACTAGCGCGTTTTACTGCTCTTGGTTCTCCTTCACTTTTTGATTGGGCTGGTATATATTTTTGCCTTTCACAAATTAAAGGTTTTGCTTCACATAGGAATGGTCGTCCTGAATTTTGGATCTTCCGCATTAAACTTCTTTTGGATATGTTGCCTACCTTAACTACTCTTCAACAACGTAAACCTTACTTATATTCTCCTGACTGGCTCTGTCCGCAGTGTAATTCTGCTCCTGAAGATTTGAATCATCTTTGGACTTGTCCTTATATTTTACCGGAATTAAATCCCTGTTTAACGCACCGGTCTGAAGTCATTAAATTTAGAGATTCTTGTTTATCTTCTTTCCTATCCTTGAAATCTTTGGATAATTCCTTTCATACCGATTTCTTTGCTTTGGATTGCTGGAACTATGAAGCTCCTTCTTCATCCTGTCTTTGGCTTACTCGAGGATTGTTGCCTGCGCATTTAACGGCATTTTTGAATCAATACTTTCCTCTCTCTGTTATATACAAGATTATTTCTCCCCTTCTTAATGACTTCCAAGTCGAATTATATGGTGAAATTTGGCTGTGTCGGAATGTTCTTTTCCATGCTTGGGAGGAGTCGCAGGGTATCTCGGCTGCTTCCAAATTACGTGGCCCATCTACAAATTCTTTCCCTAATACTACTTCTCCACAACAACACAACTCTTCTTTGGCGTCAGTTTCTCAGGATTCCTGGATTTCTTGGATATCCTCTTCTATAATTCGGGGTGGATCTTGGATCTCGCACTTGGATTTTCTGCGCCGCTTAACAGTTCAACCTCTTAGGATCTCTTTCTGGTAACGGACTGGATTTTTGGATGTTGGATAGTTGACTCACACTGGCCTTCGGGTAAAGTTGGGGTATGCGATTCTGTAATAGTTCAGTTTTTCTTTGCTTTAATTTTATTTTAGTTTAGATTTCTTTACTTGTATGAGTCGTGAAGCTACTCTTTTTATTTTTTATTAGTTTATTTTCTTATTTTTGTAATATTGTTCGATTATTTTTCGAAGTCCAAAGTATAAATAAAAGATAAAGTCATAAGACTGTTTGCACAGGAAAAGGATAAAACTAGGGTTGGTCACCCTATCTCGGTGGTTAGTCACTGAGACCCTCATTAAGCCTGAGTATGGTGAGGTCGCAGGTTCGATTCCCATGACCACAGAAATAAAAAGAATTTTACTGCGGACGCTACAACCAATAGCGTGAAGGTACAGGGATTAGTGTAGTTGGACTGCATCATGGTGAATTAGTGTGTACGGTTAGGCCGCACATTTCAACTAAGGGTCATGGTGTCCTTCTAACGTTCCCTATGAGGCCATTGGCATGTGCGCAGTCCTGTCCTTGAGGTCACTACTATACCTTGGGGGGGACTTCCTGTCCGGGTGGTCACTCTACGATACCGCTTGGGGTCAGTAATGGCTAGATGGTCGTCCTAGATGGTAAAGCTGAGGGTGCAATGTCTTAGTGGTAGTTAGACCTTCTGTTAGGTCTTAGACCAACCAAGGTGTTCGTGCACAGAACAGGTAGCATGGCTATGGGGTTCGATTCCCTACTCCTTGGGTCCTGGTTGGTGATCCCTGGTGGTTGATACCCACCATAAGGGGTGATCCTGGACAGATGCCTGCTACTTCCTGTCTGAGTGGTCACTACAAAGTATACCACTTGGGGTAAACAACTGTACTATCGGTGCTAGGTAATCGCGGGCTGTAGTGGCCTTTGAGTGAGACTTAGTACCTAAAATGGTGGTATGGAAGGGTACTAGATGGTTGATGTTACCTGTCGAAAGTCCTCCATGAAAGTAGATGCTCTCTAAAGGTCGTTAAATAAATTGAGTATCAGTATCATGCAATGGGTATAGGATGAGTAGGCGGCGTGTACCTAGCTTCAGATCAGCCTAAAATGGCCCGATGGGGGATGTCTTCTATAGTGGTGCTGTTACCTGAGGAATTAAGTACTCGGTATAATGGTTGCCCATTGAAGATGATAGGACACAGACCCGAGATTAGTCTCATAAGAGGCAATGGGTGGTCTGGCCGTAAACATTAGCAAAGGAAAAGGATAAAACTACTACCATTCGATTCGTCTCAGTGAGACGATTCTAACAAGCTATGATACATCTTTGTACGATTATTAGATGCCAAGTTATTTAATATATTCTTTATATAACTGTGATTATAAACTAGTGCTCCTAACCAGTGCGGAAAATCTATTATAATTTAACCGGTTTTTCCGGTAAATTTCTGATAAAACCGGTAAAATCTTATAATCCCGGAATTGTTCCGGTCGTGACGTAGCAGATTTCTGGAATATTTTGTAAATACCGGAAATTTCATTTAATAAATTTATATCAGATATCGCAAAAAAGTTTTTTATCTTTAATTTTATTACTTATTATTTCAGTAGTTTATTACAATATGATTATTTAAAGCCAGTACGTCTTTTCTGGTTACTCCATACACGAATAAAAAAAAGAAAAGATTATTATATATTTGGTAATACTATCTAAAACCGGAATTTTTTTTAATTCCATAATTCCATACCGGTTGAAAAAATAAATTTCCGGAATTTTTATATTTAACCGGAATTTTTCCAAAATTTTTCCAAGGTTTTTTTCTGCGCTGCTCCTAACAGATCAAATCAGACCAGATTTTACTTAGATTCAATCTGATCTGAAATTAATTAAATCTGATCTGATCTGATCTGATCTGAATCAGATCGGTTTAAATTTAATCTGAATCAGATCAGATTTAATCAGATTCAAATCTGATCTGATCTGATTCGAATCTGATTAAATCTGATCTGATCTGAATCTGATCTGAATCTGATCTGAATCTGGTCTGAATCTGAATAAATATGTTATAAATTCTAAAGTTATAATTTGTAATTCCAGTCAAATTCAAAATTCTGAAATTTCAGCCAAAATGCCAAAATTAAATATGTAATTCGGCCAGAATTATGCACTTAACTCTGGCAGGAATTATTTTATTTCCTAAAAAGGAAATTTAGGTTACACAAAATGCCAAATTTGTTCCTATAAAAATCGATTTTTGTGGAACGGCTATCGCCAAAAAAGGAAACGATCGACATATCCGTTTTGGCTGGAGTTTAAAATTATGAATTAATTCCAGCCGGCATTATGAATTATTAGTAAAATCAAATCTGAAATCTGAATCAAATCTGTCAGATCCAATCTGATCAGATTTAGATTTTAAATAAGCCTAATCTGAATCTGATCTGATCTGATCTGATCTGATCTGAAATTAATCTGATTTGTTCAGATCAAATTTTTTTGATCTGAATTTAAACTGCAGATTAAATTTATCTGATCTGATCAGATTTTTTTCGGAGCACTATTATAAACGGTTCTTTTTAATATAAGATTTTTGAGGATAGGTGTGATAGTGACTATAGATAGATTGTGACTATATAGGATAGATTTTAATAATAAAGTGTTTTGAACATTCAACTGGTGTGACTATATAGTAGCTGTCTCTTATACACATCTAGATGTGTATAAGAGTTTTCTATATAGTAGAATGTGACTATAACGGGAGTGACTATAGAGGGAGTTGACTGTAGTCAGATAGAAGAAGATGAAACTGAAAAAGACTAAGAAATTATAGATATAGATACCTGTTCGCTACTAATTTATAAAATAGTATGGTGGCTGTCACCTAACCTATAAACTACACTAATATTAAGTGACTTCAAATTTTTATAAATTGTAAATTGAATAGTAAAAAGAAAAAACTAAACTGATAAAATGATATAGCAACATGTACTGAACATTTCTATCAGATTATTTTATAGAATTTAATAAGAATTTTGATTAATATTATGGGTTAAAGTTGGATAATTTTAATAAGTAGCAATAATAAAAATATAAAATTTCGGACTAGTTTTCATGTAATTTTTATGGATTTTACAAAAATTCCATGGAAATCCACAAGAATTCCATGTAATATGGCAAAAAAAAAATTTTGCCGCTCACACGGCAATTAATATTTTGACAAAGTACTTTAAAACATAAGTTACACAATATAAATAAATAAATTTCAAAATTTCAGACTATTGTTGTTTATAGATGACAGCCACTATACCCAGGCTGTATGGCGTGGACGTCAGTATCAGTCACAGCTTAAAAAAAACATGAGTCTCCAGCCGATATTCACTTAATAAATAATAAAAAAATAAAAATAATTATCTTTTTCTACAATACGTAGGTAAGTTTCTCTTTGCCTTACGATCATCACACATGACTAAAATTAATCAAATTTATTAAATTTAAAATATGAACGTAAATATTAATTATAAATTTTATTATAGTATAATTACCTAACCTCTCCCAAAATCTCGTTCTAAATTCACGATAATATCTTTGGCCAGTACGCGTCCACAGCCGCCGCTCAGGGTTACCATTACGATAAAGGACATAGTTCTAAATATTAAAATCAGTTTGAATATTCGATAAATACATTTAATTTATATGAATGTAATTTTATTTATTTACTTACATGGTAATTCCTGACGAGATTCCTCCACTTTTGGCTGCACTGTTGCCCAGAAACCCTTGTTCGAAATATTCTATTTATTCTGATTCAATTAAATGGATTGGTTAATTTGAATTTAAATTCTTTCTTAAAGAAATTATAGATATTAGTCATATGAACCTATTGGCAACAGAGTCCCAAAAATCATGGCGGCTTCTACCATTAATATTGTGGTAGGCGTGATTTCTATCTTGGCTAGTGTTCCGAACGGGTCAGGTCAATTCGGGTGACCCGTCGGGTTGACCCGAAAATTTCAGGTTGGGTCATCAAATTCATGACCCGACCTCGGGTCGGGTCACAGTTTGACCCGACCCGTTAACCCATTTGACCCGACATAATATTTCTGGTCAGATGGGTCAAATATGTAAAAAAAACGCTGAAAACATTTTTTTTGTATTACTATTAAGAAAAAACGTTTTGGTGTTTTTTCATATAAAATTATTAGAAAAAAATGCCGAAACGTTTTTTTTTATATTAATTATTATAGAAAAACGTTTCAGCATTTTTTCATATAAAATTATTAGAAAAAAAACGCTGAAACGTTTTTTTTTGCATTATTATTAAGAAAAAACGTTTCGGCGTTTTTTCATATAAAATTATTAGAAAAAAATGCTGAAACATTTTTTTTTGCATTATTATTAAGAAAAAACGTTTCGGCATTTTTTCATATAAAATTATTAGAAAAAAAACGCTGAAACGTTTTTTCTTAATAATATCATACTTAGCCTTAAAATACAAGTAGATTTAACTTGCTGAACAAACTTACTTAAACATAAAAGATAATTTGATATAACCAAAGTGGTGAGTAGTGAAATTATATTTTAAAGTAAAACATATTTATAGTAATTTTATTTAACAAAATAAACATGTATAATATAGTAATTTTATATTAAAAATAATACACTGAGTTTAATAAAAATTAAAAAGATACTATTGACAGATAATTAATAAAACATTGAAAAAAAAAATGAAATTTCATCAAAAAAAAAATTTTTGTTTATATATTTATATAAAATTGTGAAATGTAGTACAAAATTAACACTCACCGTTAGTGAAAATAAAATAAAAATTAATTATAAATTCAATATATAATATTTTAAAAAGTTATATAAATATGAAAAATAAGCAACTAAAAACTCTTAGTATTTTAAAATAATACCAAAAATATGCAATTTAATTATCTTACATAGTATAAAATTTTCTTAAAATTAAGCATTATAAAATTCTTACATCATAAAACTTTACTATGTTGGCTAAGCACCTTGGTACCTTACATATATAAGCATTTCTAGGGTCCTGCTTAAACATCAAGCTCAATATAGAAAGGGTAAAAAAAGACTTCATAAAGGAGAATTGTTACCTGTCAAAAAAAATCTGAGATTATTCAAGGGACCACCTGAGGGACCACCTGAGAGGCTGGGACCTGTCAAAGAAAATCCAGGATTTGAAAAATTTGAAGAAGTATCATTAGACAATGAAAGTGATGGAAAAAATCATAAAAAAAATGAAAAAACTTATAATCTTGATGACAAAGCTGTAAATCTTGGTAAAGATTTACACGAAATATTGCAATTTATCCATAAATTGCCGACTTGTCCTCCTACTCGTGATAAAAAGATTTTCTCCTGAAATGAATTGTACAGACAAGCCATTATAAATCACCTAATGAACGATTCAGAATTTTCATTCTTAAAAGGCTTCAAACAATTAATTGGTGACTCTTTGAATGATATAATTTTGATGGATATTCCTTCCTCAAATCATACATACTAGAGTTCCATTTATAGCTAAAGACGAAAATGAAATTAAAAATATATTACATAAATTAGTGGGTAATATTTTTAATTCAGTCACAGGAAGTACAAAAAGTCAAGTCGCCAAAGAAATCTTGTGACGTAAAGATCTACGCTTTCACGTGGAAGTCTGGAAATCATACGTTTGCTTGCAGGCATTTTGTTCTGCAAATCTTAAACGAAATAGAGGGGAGACAACCAGATCACAAGCCAAGAAAAAAATAATAGAAGAATATCCCAACATAGATCTTGGAGATTTGGATTTAATGCTTCAGATCTCGCCAAGGATATATAGGTTATTACAAGTATTCAACGGCAATTGGGTTCTCTTAGATGTATTTGAAGAAATTACATCCATATTCTTCAAAAGTAAAATGAAAGTTGGCGCCAATTTTGAAATTTGGCTTAATTTGGTAAGAACGGGACAAATGGCTGATTATAAGAAAGGTCTAACTATGTGCGGAGAAGGAAAAAAGTTTATGAAAGAAGCTAAGCTTGATATTGTTAAAGCATATTTTAATGGAGTCGATGAAAATTTAAAGGATTTTATTGCTGATGATGACGAAATGTAGTTTTAACCCATTTATTAATTGTTCCTTTTTCTTTCTTTCATTCTTGTGAAAAATAATGTGTATCATAAAATTTGTATTATAATACTAAAAATGCACCAAATAATTAAATAAATAAATAAAAATTTGCTTAATTCACTTTATTACATAAAATTATTTATTGTTTATCAAAAAGAAATTTTACATTTTGTATATTTTTTATTAAAAATAATATAATGTATCAGTTTTTCGCAATAAACTTCATATATATAAAACCTGGTACTTGTTCGCTATCAATAATTACATTGATACCCAAGTTACACGATAAGGATATCAGTACCAACGCAACTCGAGAAAAAAAAATTCATAATTTCTATAAAAGACAATAGCACATTGGTAAAAAGTAAATATCTGTTTTACAAATTCGTAATAATGAAATAATAAAAAAATTTGGGAGACGTTTAAATTACCTCCATATAAATAATTTGAATTATGCAATGCATGATTTGTGTGCGTCCTCATTTACAATTGTTCAGTGTGTGCATACCATATTTTTGTTCTTGTCGAATTTGTAAAATTATTAATGGTAATGGGAGGTGGTTGGTTATTTACCAAAAAAACTTTTAAAAAAACATCAAAAAAAGGAAAAAGAAAGTGTTGAAAAAATTAATGAAATAGATACAGAAAGCGAATCAGAAAAGAAAAGCGATAGTGAATCAATTTCAAGTTGCAATGCAGCTGAAAAAAGAAAATTCGAAGATGATGAACTGGATAAATCAGATATAAATTCAGAAAGTAGTCTTTCGTAATAACTAAAAGATAATTAATTATCTTACAAAAAGTAAATCTTACTTTTATTAATTGTAAGTATAACCATTACTATTATAGTAATCACCAAAGTCATGTAAATTACGAAAATGTACCATCAGATTTTGACAACATACCAAATTTATTTATTCAAATAAAAGTTTTATACGTTTATTTTCTTCCTTTTTAATTTTTATTTTAAATATATTTGAATTTTCTATTTTTTCTATCTTTACCTTGCTATTATGATTAATTCTATCATATTAATAAGAGTTAATGAATATGTATAATAATAAATAATAAATATATAATTTATCAATTTAATAACTTACTTTGAAGGTAATGTAAATGTATACTCAAAATTGCCGACCGGTATTAATTTTTTTAAAATATCTCCATCGAAATTGAGTTCTTTATATTTTCCGCTAATTATAATCTCCTCCCCTTCCATGTGCAACTCAATCTCATTTTCTTCGACGATTGAAGGTAGCTTACAATTATAATAAAATGAGTTCTATATAATAAATATTAAAAGTAAGTGTATATAAATCAGTAAACTTACAATTTATATATTAAAACGAGAATGTTACCTATTATCAAATAAATCATGGTATGGCCGCCCAATGGGATCCTGTAAGTTAATAAGTACTTTAATAATAATAACTTAATTATGCTTCGATATTTTTTAAAAATTATCAAATTACATGTTTATTACTATGATGGTTGAATTTTCTTTTGACGGGTTGAAATTTGACAATGACCTTTTTTTCTTTATCCAAATTAATCCTTAGCCTTTTACTTTATTAAAAAATACTTCTCTATAATGCTCATTCTCAAAATGAATAAATCTGTAACTAAAAAGTTTAAAATTCTCCATTAGTTCATTAAAAATTTAAATTTTAAACCATTATTAATAAGTTTATACATACTCGTCTTTTTTTTTTTATAACATGAATAAAATCTTGAGGAATTTTATTGTTTACTCTGATCCAGTCCTCAATTACTTTGGACTGAAGATCTGCAAGATTATCACCGCCAAGAAACAGCGCGCATGCATCAGGATGGCAAGTTTCTTAAGTGTAAATGTGAAAAAAATAACAATAAGTTAATTTGTGATTCGCGTAACAATCGGAGAAAATTACTATTCAAATTTGGGGGAGAAAATAAAAACATTTTTGCGATTATCTCGTGATTCAGTAATTCAATCTCGACGAAAGTTTTATGTCGTGTAGCTCTCTACGCCTTCTATAAAATAAAAAAAAGATCGTCGAAATTGGACCAATAGAATGTGAGATAATCGCANAACAATAAGAACAATTAGAAAGAATAATTATAAGCCACAAAAGGTAAATCATATAAAATGGAGGGATAGCGGACTAAAGGAACACGCATAACGAAAGTACATACATTCATTCTCATGTTTTATTATTTCTTGCGGACATTTATTTTTCTTTCTTGAAAAATCTCTATTTAATATTTCTTTTATCCTAAAAATTTCTAAAGATTCATTCTTAAATTTTATTGTTTTGAAGATAAACTTCTGATTACAAAATTTACAATATATCTTAAATTTTACTTCCATAAATAATAATATAAAAAGATAATATAAAAGATAATATAAAAGATAATATAACACATATTAAAAAGAACATAAAAGATAGTATATAGATAGAATAGAAAGTAGCATAAAAATTTGTATAAATAGAGAGCGGAATTCAAAGTAATTCCATAGTTCTCATCTACAGAACTCAATAAAAATATAAGTTTCATTTAATTATTTGTTAGTAAAGTTTAATATCTGTCTCTTATACACATCTAGATGTGTATAAGAGACAGAATTGGACCACTAGATGCCGAGATATTTACAAAAAACGATTTTTTGAGCCCCTGAAAAATGGGCCAATCTGCCGAAAGTGTGACTTATGACCTGTTTTGGAGATATCCGGGGTCCTGTTAAAACTTTTATCAAAAAAAAAAGGCAACATAAAAAAAAAAACCTTTATCAAAAAAGGTGACATAAAAACCTTTAAAAAGGCGACATAAAAGGCGACATAAAAACCTTAAAAACCTTATTAACAAAGGTTAAAACCTTTATCAAAAAAAGGCGACATAAAAACCTTAAAAACCTTATCAACGAAGGTTAAAACCTTTATCAAAAAAAGGCGACATAAAACAAAAAAACTTTTATCAAAAAAGGCGACATAAAAACCTTAAAAACCTTATCAACGAAGGTTAAAACCTTTATCAAAAAAGGCAACATAAAAACCTTAAAAACCTTATCAACGAAGGTTAAAACCTTATCAACATAAAAACCTTATAAAACCTTTATCAAAAAAGGCAACATAAAAAACCTTATCAACTAAGGTAAACCCTTTATACAAAAAAACTCACCAGAGTTCATTTTTTCATACGTTATAAAAATAAAAATTATTTACGTGGCTGTGGTAGAGTACATACGTGACAGGAATATTTATATTTACGTGACAGTTGTGATGAAAACAGGTGTATGGATGAATTAGAATGTACCCCAAAATAACATTTTTTTTTCCAGATAATTAAAAAAAAAACTCCTAATTTTCGTTCTTATAATAATGCAATATTTCTGCTCTTGCCGTATCTGTAAAATAAATCCTGGTGGTGGAAAGTGGTTGTCTACTAAAAAAACTTTTAAAAAACATCAAGAAAAAGAAAAAGCATGTATTGAAAAAATTAATGAATCAGAAACAGAAAGCAGTAGTGAATCAATTTCAAGTTATAATGTAGCTGAAAAAAGAACTAAGTTTGATGAATTAGATAAATCGGATATAAGTTCAGTGAATAGTCTTTCAGATAATGAGAGGTAATTAATGAAATTATAACAAAAAGTAAATTTTACTTTTTGCTAATTATATTATTCATCAAAGTAGTCTTGATAATGAAGACGATAATAATAATCCAAGTCAAGAAGATTATAATGGTGACAATGACAATCCAAGTCAAGATTATAACAATTATAACGAAAATTATAATGGTGATAATGATAATTCAAGTCTTGATGAAGATAATGGTAATAATAACAATCCAAATCAAGATTATGATTGTGATGATAATCCAAGTCTTGATAATGATGAAAATGATAAAGTTGAAGATATGGAAACTGAAAGTGATGTTTCTGAAGAGAATGATAAATTTACAGAAATAGATAATAAATTTAATGACATAGAAAACATAAACGATGGTATATATTTAATATTACATTGATAATTTTGATTACAATTTTTAATTACTTTTTTTTTATTTATTTTAGACGAATTGATCAAAGGCTTACGCCTTTTACATACAAAAGTACTTCATTCGATATCCGATATTGCATTTAACAAAATATTCGATAATATTAATTCTAATTTAACAATTTATAAGTTGAAAAAAAAAAATCAATAACATAATTCCTTTTAAACCGCAAAAATATGATACTTGCAAAAACAGTTGTATAGCGTTTACATCATTATATGAAAATCTAACGACCTGTCCTATTTGTAATGAAAATAGATTTGATGACAATAGTAAACCTGTAAATACAACGTTGTAAACGGATAAATATTAAGCGAGAGCAAATAATATACCAAATAGACAAATGTGAACGTCAAGTACTAAGTACGAACGAATTAATCTTGAATCAGCGTGAATGGATAAATGATTAGCTGAAAAGGATAAACATTTAGAAAGAGTAATGATCTACATGATGTAATATTTATCAAATGATTAACAAGGAACTAATAGATTGAGTAGGGAGTCGATCAATTGCGGCTTAGCAACCAGTTTATTGAGTTCAACAATAAGAACAATCAGAAAGAATAATTATAAGCCACAAAAGGTAAATCATATAAAATGAAGGGATAGCGGATTAAAGGAACACTCATAATGAAAATACATAAAAACAATAATATAAAAGATAATATGAAAAGATAATATAAAAGATAATATAAAAGATAATACGAAAAGATAATATAAAAGATAATATAAAAGATGATACAAAAAGATATAAGCCACAAAAGATGGAATATAATATATTAAAAATAGAAATATATTGAAAGATAGTGTATTAAAAAGACGGAACGTGAAAGATAATATAGAAACATATTGAAAGATAACATATTAAAGATAGCATATTAAAGATAGCATATTAAAAGATAGCGTATTTAAAATATAGATAGCATATTAGAAAGATAGTTCAAAGATAATATGTAAAAAGAACATAAAAGATAGTATATAGATAGCACATATTAGAATAGAAAGTATCATAAATTTTGTTTAAATAGAGAGCGGAATTCAAAGCGAATTCCACAGTTGTTCAGTTAGTTAGTTAGTTTTGAAATAACTCAATAAAAACATAAGTTTCATTTAATTATTCGTTAGTAAAGTTTAATATTAATTAAAGGTAATAGGTTCGCCCTAAACTTTAATTAATGTTTGCTTAATTAATTTTAATTGAATAAAATGAAAATTTTAAGATGAATTAAATATACACTTTTGAAAAGTAATAATTCGTAGCGAGAGCTATCGAAGTTTGGAATTGAAGATAAAGTGGATAAAAATTGAGGAAAATTTAGAGAAGTTAAATTTTATTTTATATCGCTTGATGTTTTATATTACTAACGCTATTTATGTCATGAACCAAAAATGTTGTTGTTATATGTTGTTGCATGTTGTTCGTTGATTATGTTGTTTGTTAATTATGCCGTTGATTATTTGCTTGTTTTATTGTTCGTTCGTTCGTTTATTTGTTCGTTCGACCATGAGAATGCCTATTTGACGTAGCAACTCTGTAAATTGATGACAAAGAAAATAGGGGGATCTTAATGTTTTTTTCTCTCTAAAAGAACGTCTAATAATTCAATATAAAGATAAAGAAAGGGCTGAAGAATTACAATATAGAAATACTTATTTTTAAACTAAAGGAGAAAATGGAGAAAATGAAAAAATGTATGCTGATATATTTGATGGGATGTGAGTAATTTAAGTAAATTATATTTAAGAGTAATTAGTTATAGGATACTAATATATTGAGTAATTTAAGTAAATTATATTTAAGAGTAATTAGTTATAGGATACTAATATATTGTCTGGATTAAATAGGTTATATCAAGACTTATTACAAAGGGATTATTTAAAGATGAAAGAGATATCACGTTATCTGGGTCATGTGACGGATATCAAATTTTTGAACAGAAGACCGATGATTGTTGGATTATATTATTAATAAATAATAATTCACCCCCTCACATTCGTGTAAAAAAAGAAAATCTTTTAGTAACGATGATAATACCAGGACCCCGTTCGCCAAAAGATTTCAATTCTTTTTTACATCCTTTAGTAAAAGAATTACAGGAACTTGAAGGTAAACTTATTCTAACATAACAAAAAATGATTTTGTTAAAAATTTTTTATTAAATTGTTATTAAAAATTTTAGAAGGAGTTCCTTGTATAGATGGACGTACAAATGAACAATTTATTTTACGTGCACATTTATTAATATGGACGGGAGATATCCCAGCATTAAGCAAAAGCTTAAACTTAACTGGGCATAACTCATATAAGGCCTGCCGCTTTTGTATGATAGAAGGAATCTGTCATCCATCAAACCATCACATATATGATGATACTGTCAATATGGCTAAATTAATTGACAGTGAAACAATTAAAATTCAAAAAAATAATATGATAAAAGAAACAGGCAGGTATATTTTTATTTTTAAAACCAATTACATTAAATAAAAATTATATATTAAAAATTATTTTATATTTATAGGAATTAAAGGGCCAAGTGAGTTGCTCAAACTAAAAACAATCTTATTTCCATGGTCTTTTCCAACAGACATTATGCATTTATTTTTCGAAAATATGGCCCTACAAATGTATGCGCATTGGACTGGTAAATTTTTCAATAATATCCCAATGTCTAATGATTATGAATTATCAAAATCACAATAGGAAATTATTGGCGCATAAATGGAAAAAATCAAAAAAGATATGCCTAATGAAATAGGACACCCTTCACAAGATATACTTAAATATCATAATGGTTATAAAGCAGTAGAGTGGAGAAACTGTATTATTTTATTTTCATTACCATTATTAAAGAAATATTTAAATAAAAGGTATTTATCAAAAAGTATATATGTATTATGACTATTATCTATCAATCTACATTAATGAAAAGTAAAATTTACTTTTTTATTTGTTAAATAGGCATCTTCAAGGATGGTCAAATATTGTAAAAGCTGTAAAGCTTTGTTTAGAGCCTGTAATATCAGAAGATCAAGTAGATGATGTTCAACAATTACTTAAAAAATTCTTGGATTATTATGAGAGGTAATAATGTTTAATTTAATTTTTCATTTATCATCTTTCATTTTTTTATAAAGATTTGTTGTTTATTTTAGAGAATATTATCAGCATAATAGTCAACGTTTAGCAGTATGTCAGATAAGTTTTTACTATCTTTTACATGTGGCAAACTGTATTAAATATTGTGGTCCTAGTTGGACTTACTGGCAATTTCCAATGTATATAATTTGTGGTATTTTACAACTACTTATTAAATCAAGACTTAATCTTTATAGTAATCTATCAAACATGCTTACCTTATTACAACAATTTTATTTGTTGCCATTCTTTTTTATTTCTAAATCTATTTTTAAAGAAAAACTACCAAAACAATGGAATAGTAAACAGGTATTTTGTGATATCTAAGAATATGAAGAAGAATTTTATTGGTCTTCTATACAATATTCTTTATCAGGACAAGAGTACAAACATCTGATTAAATTTTATGAAGGATCAAACTCAGTAAATGTAAAAAAATTTTTTTGTTAGATTAATCAAATTATTCAAGATATATTTAGTTTTTTTTTAAATTTATTAGAACATTAATAATTATGGCATGTAATATGGAAGACTAAGTACATTTGATGGGCATTATATTAGCAGTCATTGGATAAAAATAAAGAATAAGATTTCAAGAAATAATTATTGTGTTCAGGTAAGAAATCATTTATCATCATCATCATCATCAATTATATTATTGATTTATTATTGCTTGTAATTTAGATAAGACGTACAATAGATAAAGTTTCTCATAGACCAAATGCACTTCCTCAACTCATGATTGTAGATATTTATGGGATAGTAGATTATTTTTTTGTACATAAATTTAATGATAAAATTCACATGCTCGCTTATGTATAATTAACATCAAAAATAATAGATGATGAATATGAATGTAAATATTTTACTCAATTTAAATCAAAAGAATTTATTGATGTAAGGTGTGTAGACCATTGCGTAGGATTTGCAAAAATAGATAACAAGTATTTTATAATTGATAAAGAAAATGCATTTGATGATGCTAATTGGGAAAATCTTGAATAAAATGTAATAAATTATTATTTAGCATAAAAACTAATAGTAATAAAAATGATTTCTAATCGTTGATATTATAGTCCCAGAAAAAAGTAAAGTATGACAATGTATCAGTAATTAATAATAATGCGTATATCAAATTGATACGCGTATTAAATTGGCACGGGACATTTCTCGATAACGCGTATATCTCTATAAAAAGATAAGTTCACGCTTGTATTATTCCAAACTTAAACTTAAACTCTTTTTCTTATTTTTGACATGTCTTCCTCTAACAACTCTAACACTGTTTTATCTCCTATCGATTTGAATGTTTTTCCGTTCTGAGGTATAAAGTATTAAGAATATCATATTGTTAATGTTCTATCGCTCATTATTTTAATATCATAGGCTAAGCCAATATATAGGCCCACGCATAAATATAAATTACAGGACGCTATCGGCTTAAAAGATCGAAAGCAGCGCTGGCTCAGCTATTTAGTAATTAATTATTTTAGCTTTTTAATAAAAAGTTAAATTTATATTTTATTATTTTACTTATTATTTTTATAATAGGACATGATGGAGTGTCTTTATGAGAAAAATGTGGATTTTGCTTTAAGTTATAGAATCTAAAAGACCTTAGTAACATCCCAAGTTGTTCGTACTGTAAATATTGTCTTTCATTATTATTATTTTTATTTCAAAAAGTTTATTGATAGCCAACTAACTTTTTATTGTAGTTTAAGAAGAAAGCTCCCGATTTTCCTGTAACTGCAGGTGACTAGGCTGTCAAAGAAATGTTAATCAGTACCATTCAAAGAAAACGTGAGTTATAATAATTTTGTAAATTATTTGTTTTATTTTTGTTATTAATCATTTGTTATTTTATTTTTAGGATACTATTTAAACAAAAAAAAAAATCGAACTCTTCCAGTGCAAGAAGAAGCAGCACAAGAAGTGCAAGAAGAAGCAGCACAAAAAGTGCAAGAAGAAGTGGCACAAGAAGTGCAAAAAGAAGTAGCACGACAAGAAGAAACACGAAGAACACAAGAAGAATCTCCAGTACTTCCTCTGCAACAAGAATCTCCTTTAGAAGCACCACAAAATAGCCAAAAAAAAAAGAAAGACGTGGAAGAGGTAGAAAATGAAAAATATAGATATTAAATACCGGTCTATGTTAGTCAGATAACCCGTTATTTGCAATTTAAACATGTTTAAATAATAAAAAGTAAATTTTACTTTATTATTCCTAATAAAATTATGGTTATAATGCTGGTAGAATTGAATAAATCAGATAACCCGTTATTTGGTAAATTTATTAATTCTCTCTAAAAATAGTTAAACGTGGATTATCTATTATAATTAGCGTAGTTAAAAATAGTAAATATTGCATTATTTATTAAGATCTTTTGTTTATTTATTACCGTTTGACTTTTTTATCTTTATTATTTATTTTTCTTTCTTTTATTAAACTTTTATTAAAAAATACTTTAATACTTTGCTTATGTGTTTATTTTTTGTTAAAAAGTTACATTAATATTGTGTTTATATTTATCGATAAAAGGTTTTTAAAGCTGTTAAATAGGTATGAAAATAGAATATATTTATATTTTCAAATTCTCTACCACACAATATCCTATTGTGAAGTCTAAAGAGTCGGTTACGTACCTTCTTTACAACAGGGTGTGGTTGAGGCTTACTAGACTATGATGTTACTTAAGGGAGTATGTAGAAGGTATTTGCCAAATCTCATGTTATAATTGCATCAGTTGTAGTAACGTATTTTTTTTATATTTCGCAGCGCAATATTACAAAAATTAAGCAAAAGATAATTTAGTAGGTATGTATCAGTCTTTATAAATTATTGCTATTCCATAACTATCTTTTTATATTTTTTACTTTTGAATATATATATTAGAATAATATACCATATGTATTTTTTCATATGATGTTCTTTTGGGTAAGTAGATCTCAAGTTATTATTATAATAAGGTACAGAATAAGTCTTTTGTAACTGTCTTTCTTTTCGTAATTATGTTCAATATTATTTATGCATTTATTCAAACCATATTATCTTAAAAATAAATTCTTGATGTTATTAAAATATACACAAAAAATTAATTTATTGTAATTAAAATAACCTTTTTTAACGCACTGAAAATAATTAAAATATAATTAAACCATATTTATAACATGTATATTAAATACTCATTGCATAATAATCTTTTTATTATCAAAATGTACAATAAATATTAGTTTATTATAAATTAAATAACCTTTAATTCAACTAAAAATATACATTGTTTCGATTTGAATCATAATTAATATATTATTAAAATGTATGTAAAGTATACTGANACGTGAGTTATAATAATTTTGTAAATTATTTGTTTTATTTTTGTTATTAATCATTTGTTATTTTATTTTTAGGATACTATTTAAACAAAAAAAAAATCGATTTTTTTCAGTGCAAGAAGAAGCAGCACAAGAAGTACAAGAAGAAGTAGCACGACAAGAAGAAATACGAAAAATACAAGAAGAATCTCCAGTACTTCCTTTACAACAAGAATCTCCTTTAGAAGCACCACAAAATAGCCAAAAAAAAGGAAGATGTGGAAGAGGTAGAAAATGAAAAATATAGATATTAAATACTGGTCTATGTTAGTCAGATAACCCGTTATTTGCAATTTAAACGTGTTTAAATAATAAAAAGTAAATTTTACTTTATCATTCCATCTAATAAAATAATGGTTATAATACTGGTAAAATTGAATAAATCAGATAACTCATTATTTGGTAAATTTATTAATTCTCTCTAAAAATAGTTAAACGCGAATTATCTATTATAATTAGTGTAGTTAAAAATAGTAAATATTGCATTATTTATTAAGATCTTTTGTTTATTTATTACCGTTTAACTTTTTTATCTTTAATATTTATTTTTCTTTCTTTTATTAAACTTTTATTAAAAAATACTTTAATACTTTGCTTATGTGTTTATTTTTTATTAAAAAGTTATATTAATATTGTGTTTATATTTATCGATAAAAGGTTTTTAAAGCTGTTAAATAGGTATGAAAATAGAATATATTTATATTTTCAGATTCTCTACCATACAATATCCTATTGTGAAGTCTAAAGAGTCAGTTATGTACCTTCTTTACAACAGGGTGTGGTTGAGGCTTACTAGACTATGATGTTACTTAAGGGAGTATGTAGAAAATATTTGCCAAATCTCATGTTATAATTGCATCAGTTGTAGTAACGTATTTTTTTTATATTTCGCAGCGCAATATTACAAAAATTAAGCAAAAGATAATTTAGTAGGTATTTATCAGTCTTTATAAATTATTGCTATTCCATAACTATCTTTTTATATTTTTTACTTTTGAATATATATATTAGAATAATATACCATATGTATTTTTTCATATGATATTCTTTTGGGTAAGTAGATCTCAAGTTATTATTATAATAAGGTATAGAATAAGTCTTTTGTAACTGTATTTCTTTTCGTAATTATGTTCAATATTATTTATACATTTATTCAAACCATATTAGGGGAGTGACACATATTATGTGATATT